ATTCAAGACCCACTTTGAACCCCTTGGATATGAATGTGGATGCGGATTTGATAACTATTTATGCCCGCTCTCAATAAACCTAATTATTTGTTAAGTACGTACTGTGTTTTCATATTTGATTCGTAATTCTTCATACTGTCGTTGTGTTTCGACTACGTCTGCTTTAGATTGATCATAACGTTCATTTGATTGCTAAAATACGCAGATAAAAAGAAATCAAATTTATACGTTAGTAATAGATACTCGAATTTGTTGTGTAAGTTCTTCGTGTTCTTCATGTAAAGTTTGAATTTCCTTAGAATTAATACAAAAAGAATGATCTAAAATATGAACAACAAAAACAACCATACTTCAGTATATTGAAGTTTCATTTCTTCAAGACGATGTGATTGTGTTGCTCTTAATCGTTCATTTTCATCAGTACATACTTTCAAACTTTGAACACGATTTTCAACCTATAAAAATAGTGAATACTAAAAATAAATTTGAATTAAATAAATTATACTTCTTTTTTTAAACTTTCTATATCATATTCAAGTTCTCTTATTCTTATATCAGATTTAGAATTTGATCGAAGTTTGTATTCCTAAATCATAAATGTATTTATTTCAAAAATAAAAAATCCTAATATATACTTGAATTTCTGCATCTTGGTTTTTGACTATTCTTTGATACTAAAATATATATAAAATAGAATATAGAAAACAAATATTTTTCTAATTACATCAGCTGTTTCCTGTACTAATTGTGCTACATAATCTTTTATATTAGATACATGTGTAGCATCTTCTCGAAGATTTGATGTTGTTCCAGTGACAAGTGATTGTGGACTCTGAAGAATACAATTCATTTCAAGAAAAAAACTAAAGATAAAAATCATACATCAGTTTGTTGATTAGCAGAAGTAAACTAAAATAATAAAAGTATTATTTTAAAATGATTTTTTATTTTCAAAACCAAAGTTAATAATACCGGTGATGATGTTGATGGTACAGATACTCGTACACGCTATTACATATATTGAAAAATTAATTTATCAATAGAATTTTCTATTATACATACATCTTTAAGTTTTTCAAAAGGAATACAATAACGTTGTATCTCATCAATTTCATGTCGTAATTTTTTTTCACTTTGTCTAAGTTGTTCACATTCACTTTGTAATTTCTAAATATAAATAATAGATAATTATTACATAAATAATAAGTCATATGTGTATTCATACATTAAAATCTTCACTATAACGTTTTATTTTATCTTTCAATCGTTGAATATTCTTAAAATACATAATTATATTATTTATTAAAAGAAAAAAAGATAATCTTGAAATATTCACTAACTTCATAAGTCAATTCAGAATCTGTATTGGGTGGGTATGTTATTGGCATTGGTGCCTTTCCCTTGGTAAGTTGCTATAAAATATAATACATCAGTTTTAGAACAGTTTTCCTATGGAAACTAACTTTTATAATATGTTCTTGATCAGCAATTTTATCAAGATATGCTTGAATATCGACATTGGAAGTTGCTTGTCCTTGCTAAATAAAGAAAAGAAAAATGCATATATTATATTCCAAATAATAAAATTTTAGCTATGAAAAAAAACTGAATCATCTTCTTTTCCCTGATGAAAATTTTTCAAAAATCGTGTAAAATAATATGAAGCATTGAAAAATAAATAAATAGATGAAATCCATCGTATAATCGTGAGCAAAATTATATTATAGAATATCAGTGAATATGTATATATATATTGAGAGAGAGAGTAATGATTTAAGAGCCGGGGAAAAAATAAGCATTTTGAAATACAAACCAAAGGATAAGTAAAACGAATTCGAGCAAGTAATGGCTAAAAGAAAATGTTATTTATATATAATTGCATTGTATTCTTTCGAATTAACTAACTACTTCGGAAATATTATCAATAGAAAAAATCTTTTTACCTCATGTCGATATGTTTCATGATTAGCTGATGATTGTACTCCCCCTTGTTTCATATTCTAAATAATATTATATAAGAATAATGGAGTAATAAATAAATTTATAAATATTACAGCAATACGAGTATCATAATCAGATTTTAAACGTCGTAATGTACGATCAGCTTTAACTTTTTCATCTTCGCTTCTTGCAATTTCGTTTTGATGTTCATTATTTAATTTTTCTAATTTATCAAAAGTCTATAATGAAAAAAAAACTTTTAATTATCAAAATAAAAAATAATTTTCTATTTACTTCTTTTAATTGAAAGTCTAATGTATCGATTTCCTAGATAAGATAAATATATGAATATATAAATTTCGTAATTTAGTTTTGTTTTTACGCGTTTTAAGAAATTATTTTCATTTAGAAGAACTCTTTCACGTTCTTCATATTGTGCTATTAATGTATTGGACGAATACGATGGACTTGTCGCTGACGGAATAGGTAGTACTCTAGTTCGGTCGACTAGATCTTCACTAGAAAGACCAAGCGATTCACGAAGAAAAAAATTTTCTTGACGACATTTTTCAAATGCAATTCTCAATTCATTTAGTTCATCAGTTTCACTATTCCCTGTAACATAACCATTTTTGATCGGTGTTGAATGACTAAAAAAGTAAAAAAAAACATTAATCAAATTGAGATACATAATAACTGATAAAGTTAATTATTATGTTAACAATAGACATTTCTAAGATATATTCAATTAAAAGAATGTATTTTCGCGTTCTGAAAATGAAGACTATGATTTAAGATAATTCACTGATGTAGTTATTGGATCAATCATTGAAAATAGAAGTGCTATTGTAAAGTACAACCGAACAATAGGATATATTCGATACGTAAAATAAACGTCTCTATTAAGTATAAAGGAAGAAGAAAAGGTAGAAATAATAAACGGATATCTTCTAAAATTTAAAATTAAATCATACAGATCGAATCACCTTATATCTGTATCAGCATCACTATATTCCACTTCATCATCACTTGCATCTTGAATCACTGCTGATTGTGTTGCACCCATTGTAGGATAATAATTTGAACACTTACGCGACTGTCTTTCGTTGTTCTATTATGTCATCTATTCGATCTTTTCGTTCGTTTTCCTCTGCTTTTCTTTTATTTCTATGGCTTCCGCACTCTTTTCAAGCAACTATTCAGAACAAAAGCAAGAGACATAAACTGGCTGAGAAAAAAAAGACTGGGAGAGAAAAAGAGAGAGAAAGACTATAATCGAACCATTCAACATTTCATTTTACTTTGTTAGGTGTTGATTAATTTAAAAATGGTTTAACAAAATAATCGAATATTTACAATATTATGAACAAATTTAAAAACAACATACCGATTTAATGAATGCCATGAACCAGTTTTTAGAATACCCTTCGCTCCTTCAATTTTATTATAAGATTCAATTTGTGATGAAGGACATTGCTGTAAAACTTGAGTCGATGACGTATGTACATTACTCGTTTCATTTTGTTCTTCGAGGAAATATATACGTAACTTCAATTGAAAATTTTCACGTTTAAGTTCTTGAACTTCCTAAAAAAATGAGTTTTTTTGATGATTAATTTATTTCTCCTTTTGTATTACTAAAAACGACAAGTTAAGGTAACAAATTCTATCTCTCAAGTATAATATCTCGTTCAACATATAATAGATCTAAACGTGACTATATACCTTCCGTCTCACTTTTCCATAGATAAACAATGTTTATTTACTATTATACCATAGTTGATAGATAAAGATAACAAACAACTACATGTAAAAACATTTTTTTTATTATTTATTCGAATGAAAGGTTTTTTTTTATTAATGTAAATATAGACACTCACAGTAGAAAGAATAAACATAATTTTTCTAAATACTTCTCATAAAAAGTGGCTTTTAGATTGTAATAAAACAAAAAACCCGATGGTTTGACTAAACATGAATACTTTTTTTTCATTTTCTCCAATTTAAATACTAAAGCAATATCTAGATATAATAGTTGAGACATTTTTATCTGAATACATTTAAAGTATGTATTATCTTATCTGACGTAATAAGTTGGAACAACTACAAATAACACAAATTATTATTGAAATAAGAATTTAGTAAAACTTATTAATCATTATCTTTCTAACGATTGTCATAAATAAATAAACTAAAAACTTACTGAATCAATTTCACGCATCGTTTTTGCATTCGTAGAAGGACTGAGATCAAGATTTGCACTTCTTGTTAATACAGATCCTAACGAGAGAAAAAAAAGAATAATTTATTATTATTCATATAATATTATTCTTCTTACCGTCGTTAATTTCATGCGATGAACGATCTTCAATTCGACTATGATCCATAATTATAGTCAATTGATAACGTTCAAGGATATATTACTAAAAAATATTATTAATTCAAGACAAAAAAGAATAAGAGTATAAAACAAACATTATTCTAGGATTAGTTATTATAATTAACTGACACATTTCTAACGCTCGTCTTTGGTTTCTCACTCGTAAAATCTTTATTTAACAATATTAAGACAAATTTTTACTATATAATAAAACATTTTTTTTTAAATTAAAAATAGTCTTTCCGATTATATAACATATTAGTACGTGGGACTTCACACAATTGCCACTACTATTCTCATAAAAAAATATATATAGGAAACACGCTCGTCTTTTTCTATATCGCTCTCTCGCTCTTGCACAACAAATAACTTTCGGTTTGCTATACTTAAAAATATTTTAACTAAAAATGAAATATTATATTAGACAAAATCTTGCCCATGCATTAGTTTATATCTTTGTCTCTTAAGATGTCGTGTATTCATCATAATTATCGTTATCTGTTTGTTCTCTCTTTTACTCTCCATTTATTTGACGAGTAAACTTCTTTTTTTTTTCACACATGTCTCTTTTCTTTTTTATTGTGGTTAAAAACACATACGAGTAGTGTCGACGACTGCTGCTATATATTCTCTTGCTCTTCTTTGGCATCATTACTACGGTCGTCCAACATCATATATCATTGTGTGTTAACAATGATGAAGAGACTGAGAAGAGAAAAGAGAAAGAAAGGTAGGAAGACACAGAACAAAACGACTTGTTGTATATGAAAAAGAAAACAGTACTGTATCAGTCTATTATAATTGTCTGTAGTAAAATTTGAAATACGAATAGGATGGATATCACCGTTACAGACGAATTCATTTGCTAATAACTACACCTGTCTAATTAACTCTAGAATATGTTCAAATATGAAAACAATAACAATGTTCATTCTTGAAAAAAATATAGATTAATATCACTAATCTTATTTTTTATAAGAAATAGAGCATCTTATATTATCTTACCTTATTGATATAGTTTTAAAGAAAGTGAATTTCTTATACATATTGAACAATTAATATAGGAAATTGATGATATTCAACAATAAATTTTCAGTATAAAAACTAATCATTATTTTAATAAATCGCTTAAAATAGTTACATATATGTATACATACAGTTACAACCTCTTAGAAAGGAATAAAAACACAAAAAAAATCCATTCATTTCTTTTAATCTTACGCATCAAAAGATTTTTCGGATGACTACATAGGGAAAATTTGTATGACCATACATTACTTTTCGTTAGAACTTTTTACTTCTATACATATATGACCATTGTTATTGATTATATAGAAGAAATACTAACTATTGTTTGTCATTTTACTATATATCAATAATGATAATAGATGATTTTAACAGAATGAATCAATTTTATTAACCTTGATTTAAACGAGAAATGAAATAATCGAACAAGAAAAAGAACTTGAGTACACTGAATTAATTAGACAATCGAATGTCACAAGGTTGTACGTAAAAGTAAATATTTATTATGATAAAAAAAATAATTATGCATAGTGTAGACATATTATGTATAAAATTTATTTATTTAAATATAACAAATACGATCATATGTTTCAATAATAAATTAAAACATTGGTCATAATATATTATATCACATAGAGAAATGAATTGGTTGATTAATTTCGTTTTGTAAAAAAGTCAATGAGTTAGAAACTTTCGGTCATTCATATGGGCAAGCCCAGAAGGGCGGCTTAGTTTAGATCATCGATATTTATTCTATATTTAATGCTTGTTTGATCACTTTTATTCTTTGAATTTTTAAAAATACTGCAAACATCAATCTTAGATTAAACAATGTTATTATTATTCATAGAATATAAATTAAATCTCTAATTAATATTTTTACAATAGTATTAAGTTGACATTAACATGCGTAATAAGTGGGTAAACTTTTCATAGATATATTTACTCGATTACTATACAATTTCTGCATAATTGATTATACTCTCTGTAAAATATTCTGTTAGTATATAATACAGATCAATACTAAATAATTTTTTTTCTATAAATTTAGATTCTAAAAATAAAATTTTTTTTGAATAAAAAATATTTCGTTACTAGTAAAACAATAGCGCCATCTACTTCTCAAGTAAAAACTGTAGAGAGATATTTTTTACATTGGTAAAAACACATGACTGATCAAGTTAAAAATAAGCAACGACGAGAAACTACAGAATGATGTTGTTAATCTTCATTTTTTTTGATTATTCTTTCCATTGAATAGTAATGTGATCTTAGATGAAAAAAACAAATCTATATATTATCAAATGGTTCGATGAATATTATATTTTAATTTGAAAAGAATCCAATCATGAATAATATGTAAACTTAAATTGTTAATTATATTTTCTTATATTTGATTCATAGCTTTGATGAATAGATATTTACATTTAGATTGTTATTTTGAAGCATATGTGCTATAGGAAAATATATTTATTTTATTCGTAAGTATAATTTCAAAACAACTGTCAAAGTTTTATTTATTAAACAATCGAAAATGTCAAGTATTAGTTTTATATTAATTATATAAATATTATTTATTCTAGATAAATTGATGATGGATGGACACCTCTCAGTATATACAATCTTGCAATCCAGCGTAAGAAATTTTCATTGATTTATTTATCTAATTAATTTTTTGTTTAGTCGGTTTGTGATTACTTGTTCACTATTGATCTTTTCAATTCTATTTGCATTACGTATTGATGAATATATTAAAATTAGTTATTGGCTTGTCTTTTTGCCATTATTCATATGGAAAATGCTTGTTGTATTTGGTGCTTGTACAGGAGTTTTTGTCTGGTGTAAAAGTGGTGAAAGAAATAGGTAGATATATATATATTTATTAGAATTTATTCATATTTATTTTCCTTGTAAGATTTATTCGTACGCCAGATAATGATTGTCGAGCATTGATCATTTATTTTGTTATACATATTCTTATATTTACATTTGAATTACTTTCATGTGACAAGCTAGAAAATCATTTAGATACTCGCTGGATTATATGTTTTATTCCATTACTTTTATGTACAGTTGTTTGTTTTATATCATGTTTATGGTCATTAAAAGCACAAAGAAATTTTCTGGTATGTTTGATCTCCTTGAATATATGAAACAAAAAAAAATGTTAATTATCGAGAGTATTTAATTTAGATTCAAACGTTCATTGCAGCTAATGGGCTATTCTTTTTATTTTTTCCACTTCGTCTAGATTATTTTCTTACCTGGCGATATGTTGTAAGTACTCTTTTCTTTTAATTAATATTATTATTATTATTATTTGATTCGAATAAGGTCGTCTTCATTCCAGTATGGATTTCTTCATGTATTGCTTTATTATTTGTGATTACAAAATTAATTCTTGCTATTGTTCATCGGTGTTCTCGTCGATTAGTATCTACTCAACGTGATGCAACTACTGTTGCAGAAGCAATTATCTATACACTTATCTTCGTTCCATTCAGCATTTTTTCAGTAGGTTCACTAAAATTGTAAAAGCGTCAAAAAAGAATGAATTTTATTTTATTAAAGATCTTATTGGTGGATCGACTTGATAATGAAGATACTACTCAAAATGGAAAAACTTCATACAGTGTAATATCTATTCCATTATATATAACATTAATTGCTTGGCTTACATTTTCATTTGGAGCTACTGATAGTAATCCATGTTCGTATTCTTTAATTAAATATTTATAATCGATGCAAAAACAAATTATTTTCTAGGGTGGTTTGGTCTTCGACGTGATTTATGTGAAATTATTCTTGGTCAATGTCCATTTGTATCACTTTATTTTAATAATCAATATAAATTTCAAACACGTCCATCAACAAATGATGTTGTTATTGATATGACAACATCAACAATTGAAAAAAATATCGAACCATTTAATATACAACAATTTTCATTAACAACAACAGAAACGAACAACGAAAAGAATCTCATTGAACAACATCAATTCATGTCGCTTTTAGAACCTGATTAAATAACATTGATAAAATCTTTTTTTCTCTTTACCAGTGATGTTAGTCGTCCTCCTCCTCTCTTTCGCTTATTTCCTATTGTAATCATGAAAGAAAAAATAAAATTTTTTTTTTGTTTGTTTATTATATAATAATTGGTCCTGTTGGTAAACGAAGAACATCAGCAAATTGATTTCCAATATGATTATAATGAAAAAATGCTGCTAAACCAATTAATAATGAAATAGGTAAAGCAGGTAATGGTCGATTTAATATAAGAAGAACAATAGTTGTACCAAGCATACCCATTATAATACATAAATATACAATAATAATAGCAAATATATTACATTCAGATGTAAAAACTGTTTTTGATAGAAGTATTGAATAGAATATAAAATCTCCTAAGCCTAACATTGATTTACGTGTTTTCATTTTTCTTGATGATTTATTAGATGAAGCATTTGTATTTTTATTATTATTCTTATCAATTTTTTCTTTATAGAAATAAGTTAAAGTATTTGGTGATATAAAAAGTAAATTTAAACTTGACCAATATTGAAATGATGATATTAAAGATTTTTTTCGTGGTAAATTATTCATATTTTGATTTTTAAACCATATACCAGTTGTATAAATCATCATTGATGGTACTTGAAGTTTACGTTTTTGAAATAAATTAATTAATAAATAAAGTGGACCAAATGGAAGTAATACAGCAATCATATCCCATATAGCAAGTAATGGTAAAAGTGCCCATGCAATCCATTCCGGTGCTATTTTAAGTACATATAATATCATAATAATACATTGATAAATCGTTACGATTTGTTTGATTATATCTGGTGATAACCAAAACATTGACAGAATTGCAATTGATAATATATTATAAATATAAAATAGAATTGTTAACCAATCAATTGAACAATTTAATTGTGCAATAATCATTGATAGAATAGAAATATTTAAAAGAGAAAAAACACAAATAACAGTTATAAATAAATAAATATAGAGACATTTCATACAACCATAATAAACAAAAATAACAAGAAGACATGTCACTAATGCAATGATACCAATAATAATTAGTGCAATTAAAAATGATTCCCATGTTATTTTAGATATGGATGCAGCATTAGGTCCTTTTAATGTAGATATAAGACCAGCATCTTCGAAAACATTTGAGTATTTATAGAGATCATAGAGAAAAATTGATAAACCAGCAGATATAATAACAGTAAATGAAACTGGATATACAAGAGCAAGAAATGAACGTGACCAATAATCAATATCAATTGAAGATTTTTTAGATAATTTTGATGATGATGATGATCTAAGAATTAGTTATATTTTAAATTATCTTCACAAAAAATAAACGTACGATACAGATGAATGTATACTTGTAGATGATTTACTATTAGTGACAGAGTCAGTTGACATACTATTGAATCAAGATAATTAATGCGCTCGATTGACAGTGTTACATTTTTATATGTAATGTTGAATGCATTTATGAAAAATACAAAGATCATTTATTTAATAAAGGTTTTATTGAGTCAAATAAACAAAAAGTATTATAGAGTTAATAACACATAGATATACAAACAAATTAATCTATATCACAAACATACAAATAGAGAAAAAAGAAACAAAAAAAAAAGATGATATATATTTAATATTTATTCTTTAAGTAGATGACTTTCTTCAGCATCTAGTGTAACAGGAAATATATCTTTATCGAAAAGAAGTCCACCGTCCATTTTGACATCTTTGTGAAAAGGATTTACACTAACATCGACAAAAAGAAGTCGATCAGTTATTACGTCTGGAACAATGATAGGTTCCTTTACATCTTTGACTGGTACAGCAATATCAACTTTGACTGGTACAGTTCTATCAACTTTGACTGGTACAACATTATCAACTGTAACTGATTCAAAAACATCATCTTTAGTTGTTTTGAAATGATCATCTATGTTTGATGCGGCAACATCATCTTTGTCATGTTTGAAAAAATCATCATTCATAAATGGTGTAGTTTCATCATCCATAACTGGTGTAGTTTCATCGTCCATAACTGGTGCTGCTGATACAGTCGTTAATATTAATAAACATAAAGTACCAAAAATGAACAACATTTGATTGCTAATCATGATTTTGATTTGAATTATTTGTGTTGTAAACGATGATGTCGAAAGTAATGAATATATGAAAATGTTATTTGAAACGTGTCTTTATATGTGATAGAATAATTCGATTAGATATTTTCTTGTTTTCTTTTGTTATGCATTGTTCTATGATTTAAGCTGACGAATATGATGTTCGTCTATGAATACAATAGAGTTAAGAATAACATATTCTCAAGTTAGACTAGTAAATTTCGACATGATATGACTTTACTTCATTGACCTTGTAAATGACAAAGAAAAATATCGGAAAGTCAGACAATATTTGTTAATTCATCGTCATTTAATAGTCATGTTTCGTTGAAGAGAATATAATCTAGAAAAATATACATAGGACCTGGTATTGACGTCATCATCGTCGATAATGAAAATCGAAAACTATAAGAAGAAAAGAAAGAGTGTATGGTAACTACTAGAATATTACATTCAGTTTAGTTATCATTTTTTATAACAATTACAGAAGTTTAAATAATAAGCAAAAATTCAGAAGAATAAACAAATTAAGTTGTAAATTTCAAAACCATAATCTAACTTAAGTAAAAGTTTATTGACAGTGACATCTATCTAAAGTTTTAGCAAAACAGATTATTTCTAACAAATAGAAAACTAAGAATGAATCATTAACATTTGCCACTTATACATATATCTAAGATTAAAAAAAAAAGAAAACTTTGTACTATATTGTGAAAATATCTATGGCAGCTTACTATACATATAATTTTTTACCACCAATATCATCAGATTTTGATTCTCTTTTACATGACTTTGAACAAGAATCTATTTATGATTATCAAACATTTGCAACTGTATGGCAAAAACATAAACTTGAATTACTTTTTAAGTATGAATCTTTTTATATTTTTATGAAATTTATATTATTATTCTTTTGATATACATAGAGCTGCAGATATACAACCAAATTCATTTCGTTTTGTAAGTATTTTTTATATGTACAAAGTAAAGGGAGTACGATTTTTTTTTAGTTTCTTGATGATTCTATGACAGTAGCTGCTGCTTATCTCGGTGAATCATGGCGGTTACCTATACAACTTGGTGCACTTTATTGCTTATTTACTATATATATGTATCAAATAGAAGAACCAAAAGTTAAAGTAAGAATTAAAAAAAATTCTATTTTAAGATAATAAAATTATTTTTTTGAAAGATTCGTTTGACTATTGATACATGGAATTCATTTCTTGATCAAATAGAATCATCATCAACAGTACCTTCGGATGCTAAAATCATCTTATGTAAATTACTTAATGAACATGCTTTTGTTATGAGTGCAACGAGACATGAGGTTTAATATTTTAATTATCTTCATATTTATAATTATTTTTCTATCTTACTTATTTAGATGGGTCCTCGTTTCTTTACAAAAATGAATTATATGAAATCCGGTAAATATATGCGTTCAGATGTTTTACTTTCATCACGATTAAATATCGATGAAAAACTTGTCAAAGTATGATTATAAATTTTATTTTTATTACTAATTATATTTATCTTATATTAATTTAGATGTGTGAAGAAACACATAATTTATATACAAAAGCAAAAGATAGTTTAATTGAAGCATATGGTAGTGTAGATAATTTACCAAAAGAATTTACATCGATTCGAGCGAATTTTATTGAACAATTGAAACAAGGTCTTGATATTGATAAAACAGATGAGCAACCAGAAGAAGAACAAGAACAAGAACCAGAACCTGAAACAACAATACAAGTAAATGAGCTTTTTATCAGTTGGTAGAATAATTCTTATTAATCATTGTTTTACTCTTTAATTAGCGTCGATCATCAATTGGTGAATCTCGAAGTCGAATACGAGCAAAAGCTGAAATGATTGATCGACCAACAACTATCAAAGATGAATACGTACTTAATGATGATGATATTACTGCTGCTGCTGACGACGACGAGGATGATGATGATGATGAATATAATAAGTTTATGTCTATGAATACGACTAATGTTGTTAATGAAGTTTCTCATAAAAAACAGAAAGCAACAAAATCTAAAACGACAACACGTCGTTCAAGAAAAAAACGAAATGAATAAATTATATAGAACCTAGTATTCTTTTTTTTCTCATTCCAGATAAATAATCATGGCAACTATTCATTCATTACCAGTACTTATGCGTGTAGTTTCTGCATCGTTAACTTTAGCTAAACGAGCTGGTCAAATCATTAAAGATGTACAAACGTCTGGTACAAGCCTTGATATTGTTGATAAAGTACCGTAGGTTTTATTTTCGTTTTTTCAAAATCTTCTTATATTATTCTATATATTCTAGGGACATAATGATCCACAAACAAAAGCTGATCGTGCTTCCCAACAATTAATTATTTCAAATTTAACAAAACATTTTCCACAATTAACTATTCGTGGAGAAGAAGTAAATATTTTTGACTAGACTTTATTTTTTTTTTCTTAATTCTATAAATGCTTTTTTTAAGAATATTCCAATCGAAAAATCTGCTGCAACATCAGATATTGATGAATTAATTGGATCGAATTTAAATGAAGTTTTGCAAGCAAAATGTCCAAATGAATTTCAAGATCTACAAGAAAAAGATGTAAATAATAAAAAAATTCATCAATAAAATTTAATGCTTTTTTCTATTAGCTTGTTGTTTGGGTTGATCCATTAGATGGAACACGAGAATTTACTGAAGGTCGATTAGAAGGTGTTACAGTATTAATTGGTTTTGCTACCAAAGGCAATGCTATTGGTGGTATTATTCATCAACCATTCTATGTAAATGGAAATGAATTTGGACGTAGTGTATGGGGACTTGTGCATTCCGGTGTTTATGGGAAATGTCAAATGAATAGTACACCATTACCTGGTCGAATTGTAGCTGGAAGTTTATCACATCGTTCAAAAACTGTTGTCGATGCTGTTAATGCATGTCAACCTACTGAAGTTTTACAAGCTGGTGGTTGTGGATATAAAGTTAATATTTTATTTTATTTATTATTTATCTTTTTTTGTTATTGTTTGATTAAAGGCATTACTTGTACTTGAACGTCGTGTTCATGCTTATGTACATGCTTCACGTGGTTGTAGTCTATGGGATACATGTGCACCCGAAGCTGTTTTAAAAGCAGCTGGTGGTATGTTAACTGATGTATTTGGTAAAGGAATATCATATTTACCAACTGATGATACATCTGTTAAAACCGGTGTTTTAGCAACTATGGAAAACCATGAATGGTATGCTCAACAAATCCGAGAAAAAATTACAATGTTATAAAAATAACAAAAAAAAAACACCAACATTTTTTTTTAATTTATTTTATCATTTGTTTTTTTTTTTTTAATATTTATGTAGATTGCTGCAAAAGCAGTATCCATATTAAGATAAGAAAAAAAATACTCTTCCACACATCTATTTTTATGTAAGAACTTCGTATATATCAAAAAAAAATCAAATAATAATTTTTTACGATTGATTTCTTATTGTTACATTATAACACTATATTTTTTTAATGGTTATATATTTTGATTAAGTCTATAGCTATTTATAAACAACTCCTATAAATATTCATCATATTGATAAAGACATTAGTATATTTATAAAGAGTTTTCTTGACTTATAATGATGTCGCCTAAGTCAATGAGATTGTCTTATATTAAGATATTCTTTCGAAGATTAATTAAGAATGAATGTACCCTATAGAAATATTTTATATGATGATCTAGTGACAGCTATTTCAGTCTATATCTAATTATGTTTCATCAGATCATAGAGTATTTTGTTGAATCCAATTTCAAAGAAAAATCATTTACATGTTTTTTTTATCTTCTAAAGAAATCATAGTCTTCCTTTATACTCACTTTATATTCAGCTCATTTAAAAATCTTCATACAATTTATCAAATTTCTAATAGAATATAAATGAAATTTTCTTCATTAAACAATAATTAAAAATATATGTAGATGTTCTTTTAAATTATGAAGATCATCTTTGCTTAAATCAAAAGTTTCTAATTTAGAAATTTGAATAATATTACGAAACAAAAAAAAAAATCTTCAAACATTATCATCATTATTATTTATTTTTTTTAGTACTTGAAGGAACTAAAACTGACGCTAATTGACAATCTCCGGTTGCATGTTAACTATACATGCCTATATACACATCGTTTAAAAATTCATTTTTTTTTGATTTATATAAAAAAAAAAGATAAATTGTTAATTTTCTTTTACTAAACATAATCAATCGTTTTTTTTTCATTTAAATGATGCACTGAACTGTTGTTCCCTGAGGTGTAGTTATTCTTCTACCTGCTCTTAATGTATTCATATGATGATTCAATCATTGGCGTCGAAGACTAATCACCTTCTGCTCATCGATTATATTTAAACATATATTCATTGACTAGTTGTTTCGATATATTCCAATGGAATGATAAGAAATGGGCGTTGACAAATAAAAGACAAAATCAAATCTTCAGTGACAAGAATTTTTTTTCTCGTTCATATAGGCAGATTGCCTCTAAATGGTTAGAATGCTTGTCACTTGTCGTCTGGAGGCAACGGATCAAATAACATAGTGTAAAGCACTTCGATTACTTGGAAAGGCTCTTTTTTCAGCATACATATACACATACAGAAGAGAGTGAGAGAGAGAGAGAAAAAAATGAGACAAAAATGAGTTTAGTTATATTAGTCAAACTGCTGCTTGAGTAGCAAGAGAAGTGGCAAAATCTTGAAATGTTGAATAAGAATTTGCTGCTGTTGATGATAATGATGTAGATAATGGATTTTGTTCAGAATTTTCATTGACACTAGTTTGTGCCAATGTTGATTTATTGTTTGTATTATTATTGTTGTTATTATTATGAAAAGCAACTGCTTGTGCTGCAGCATGTGCAGCAGCCACAGCAGCTAATTCATAAAAGTTCGAATGAAGAAATGATGCTGCATCGAAACGATGTGATGGATTTTTTGATGACATAGATAATGGAGACGTCGATGACGATGATGCAGAAGAAAAATCACTGGGTAATGGCATGGACATTGGTAATGGACGTTTAATCATTGTATTATTTGATGATGATGATGAAGGTACTGCCGGTGGTGGTGGGGGCGGAGCTTGTAAAGAAGCTGCACAAGCAACAACAGAACTAATGGATTGACTTGCTTCAACTATTTGTCGTTTAAGTCTATTAAGGAAATAATAATTTTTTTTAATTATAAAAAATTTGAAAAACATACTTATTTCGTCGATTTTGAAACCAAATCTAAGTAAAAAAAAATACGATAAGATTACTTGATAATTATTCTACTACTATATATATCTTCTTACTTTAACTTGTTGTTCAGTAAGTCGAAGACCTTGTGCTAAATTTGCTCGATCTGCACTTGATAAATATCGTTTTCGATCAAATGTTGTTTCTAATTGAAATATTTGTGTACGTGAAAAAACAGTACGTGTCTTCTTTTTTCTATGCATTATTTCATGTAATTCATGACTACCATTACCATGATGATTATATTGATTTAATCCTCCATTTGTATGTGAATATTTATGACTATTATTATGTTGATGATTTAAATCATTATCTTCTGAACCAGATCCAATATCATCATCATCAACATCACTTGTAGATATACCTGAACAATCACTACTACCACCATCATCATCATCAATATTAGTTAAACGAATATGTTTATTTCCAATTGGTGGTGATGATGAATGTTCATCAGATGATAAAGAACCACTATGTTTTCGTTTGTTATTATTTCCATCGATAAGTAATAAATGAATACCTGAATCATTATTACTCCCGTTTTCATTTGATGATCGATGATGATTACCTATATTAAAAAAAAAGAAAAATATAAAATCTTTCGTTCTTTTTTTTTCTTTTCATTTTTTTTACCAATTGGAGTTGAATGATGATGACGTTCGATTTTAAAATTACTGCAATTGAATAATGGTTGTTGTTGTTGTTGTTGCTGTTTGTCCAGAATACTATCAATTGAAAAACTTAATTTTTTTTGTTGTCGAGTTGGTTCTTGTTCGACGACAATTGCTTTTGTATTACTGTTCGTCGTCGCATGAAAAGGTAAAATTGTCTGTTCTTCCATGTAATATGTTGATTTGAATCGATTTGATAGTTAAAAAAAACAAATCTCAATTGATAATCGGTTACTTTTTTGCGTCTTATAACCCGTCAGGTAATAAATTATTGTATGAGTGGATTTTTTTTTCTAACGGAAATTACACACAAGCATACATAGACTCTTTTTACTTTCTTCTCGTACAATTATCTTCCCGCTGTGTATGTGTGTGTGAGTGTCTCTCTTTTCTCTATTTCTCTCTCTCTCTCTCTGTTGCTCTTGTTCGCCAATCGACAACAAGAGCCAATGAAAAAAAACGTCTATGTTCGATAATCGTTTGTCAATCGGCCAATCGGCGACAATTGCTTATTCGTCGTTGTCTCTTTTCCTTCTTTTTTTGAGTCTTAAACGAAAGAAAGAAAGAAAAAACTATATATATATATATATATATGAACAACATAAATAGCAAAGTGAAACAAAGATGAATACTGACATTGTCAAATGGAGCAGGAAATGGGCTTGATGTGCATGCTCTTAGCTTCCTAAGGTGATAATCGACTAAATGACGAGTAAAAGAAAAAAGAATGTAAGAGCTCAATTAAATCAATTTGCCGACCTGACTTCGTCACGCTCATATAAACCTAAATTAAACTTTGCTTTTTTTTCTTTTCTATTGGAAAATTCAACGAAATACCTTTTTTGTTTTTTTTATCAATTTATCAATCAGTTAAAATCAATTAAACTTATTCGATTTGCACCCATACCATCTGTTTGTGTATGTGTATGTGCAATGACAAATTTAAATACAGTATATATTCTCTCATTCATTCATTCATTCATTTATTCATTCATTCAGTGTTTAGCCTATTAATAGCTTTTGCTCTTTCTCTTGTATATGTCGTCGCATAGAGGAGGCCTCGGTTGCTTCATTTCACTATGTTGTGATGCTGTCATTTGATAATGTATAGAGAAGGGATATATCTTTTTCCTCCCTCGTTCTCATATGTCGATGAAAAATGTGCACTAATCGGATTTGATGATGAAGCAACTTACTATATACGAACGAGAGAAAGAGAGCGCGCTTCTTCACCTATCGATTGCGCGAATGTCGATCTATCTGACTGTCTGTCTGTCTCAGGGGGACAACGAAAGCTTTGCAAAAAAAAAGAAGAGAAAAAAATGAAAAGAAATCAGAAGCATGAGCACGCCTGTCATTTGACATTAATAAGGCGAATCTTTTACTCTCTCTCTCTCTCTCTCTGTGAAAGTGAGACGCGTACATTCACATTTTGGATCAAGCAAAATGAGATTCGATAAGGCTCGCTGAGCAACAGTAGCAAAATGCAATTAGCTCAAATGTCATTTTGTTTAGACTCATCGTATAAATATTGAGATGATAATATGATGAGGAAAAAAAACGAGGAAAGAAATACTAAATAAAGAATTTTCTGACTAGGTAATTAAAATGACTTGACAATAGGTGAAAAACTAGGGTTTCATTATTTGAAAAGAACTACTTTGATGTAGACATATATATATATATATTGTTACTATTAGTTAATCTTCTTTAATCTTAAATTAATTTTGTTTCTTCTTTGTCTGATGGAAAAATCTATTCGTTTTCTTTCTGGGTAAAATTTTATCAAATTTTGTCATCATCAAACGATTTAGTGTCGACGATCAGTGTTATTTTCTTGTTCATAATAGCGGCATCCCTGAAGCATTCACTCGATAACAATTATCAGGTGTATTTAAGATGTGTGCAAATATATGTTCTTTTTTTATTATTTAAAAGAATAAAATAATGATCATCAAACGGATGGGAAATTTTTGTGTACAATACAATTTTCCGACGCATATAAGAAAAGAACATTTAAACAATATATTGAAGAAATGTCGAGACGAGTGATGTTTTTCTTGAATAAGTAATGATTAAAGAAGATAATTAGTTTGTTTAGATAAGTGATTTTTTTTCGAATGAAAAAACAAAAAGAAGAAATATAAGATTGACATTAACCAATCGAAAATGAAAGAGGAGGAGAGGGGAGGAGGAGGAGATAATAGTGAACAATAGTAACATGCTGTGATGCAGATGGTTTTATTTTACAAGAAACAAAAAAAATGAGTTAATAGTTTTAATGTATTTCGTGATGATTTTTAAATAAACTTATCGAATCATTGTGGGAATTACAATTGACGTTAGGCTTTTATCGACATAAAGCTTCTTTGAACTCGGTGAGTGGTATAAAGTTAGCCGGACTTTTGCCTGTCTGACTACCTTGTGTTGTGTGAAAGTGAACATGCAATCTACAAGTCTAATCAAGTGGCTAACGTGTATATAAAAAATTCGGTTTTTCTTTTTTCAATTAATTCCGCTTATACTCCTCCCACATACTTATCAATCGATTTTTCTTTTTATGTTTTGAAAGACGATCGTTAGTACCTGAACAAACAAAAAATGCGTGTGTATAGATGGATCTTCATATTAGTAATTTAATAGAAGAAATAATGGAAAAAGGAAAGTGAATCATCATCAAATGAGAATAGTACCGGATAATTTGCTTTTGTCTGATGAAAATATAAACAATTACCGGTCAACTTTTTCTCTTCTTTTTCTTTTTTTTTTTTGTTATAGAAAAATCGAATAAGAAAGCAGCTGTAACAGCAGGAGATCTAATGTTTGATCTCACTTTTATTTTATCCACTGCGTAACCTAATGCATGAGTTTAGTTCGGCCCCTCGACATATTGAATATTGGAAGAAGAACATAGACTATTCAGTAATTCGAGTATATAAGCACATACATACATACACCTTTTTCTTTCACGAGGGCGAATTTGTCTGAATGGTGGTAATGATGCGAGAGAATGAACACATATACATATATATATATAAACCATATCATGGTCTATATCATGATGACAACTTTCACTCCCCCTTTTACTCTCTCTTGTTCACCTATCAATGAAGAGACTGAACAGCAAATTGAAATATGTGCTCCAGTGAACATTGAGAGAATAGAATGATAGATAGACAAGATGTTTTTTTTTATATTTACTCTATATTGATTGAGCACCAATGATATGATAATTGTACAAATTGAAATCATTTAAATTTCTATAGAGATACCTTTTTTTTCGTCTCATATAGATAAAATAAACTCCTATCGATTTAATAAATGTAGATAATTGTCATCAAATGAGAATGATGTGTCATCAACATTTCCTATGTATATAATTATCACTGATTTTCTTGTTGATGTCAAGTGATGTTCTTCATGCATGTAATTATAGCTTGTTATTCCTATTGCTCTTCGTTATATATATATATATATGCATGTTGTTCTTCGAGTTGCTCTTGTTGGCGTCGAATTTTTTTGTTATTGAGATTTTAAGACAAGGATGAACAAGAGAAAAAATTAATTATGACGCCATAATGAATATAAAATCGAATGAATTGATTATGATAAGTATTCACGTCAACAAAAAGAAAAAGATTAAATATTTAATCATAAAAATACGCTCATTTGTTCATTTCTTGTCTAATGAAGCATCATTTTTAGCATAATTGAAAAACTGTTGATGTCATGCTGATAACGAGTGGACGAAATAGATGCGTGACGAAGCCAATCAGATTACCTTCTTTACTAATATATATGTTGTTGTCTAGTCAACTTCTCACCTTTAAATAGAATGAAACTCATTCATATATATACATAGTCTATGCTTGATAGGAGAATTAAATTATAAAAGTGATGCACAGCAGTAAAACTACACTTAAACATGCTTCGTTTATTTAACAATGAGAGAGATTCAAGTTTTCTTCGTTGTTTTTTTTCTGTATCAATGTAGATCAAACAGAAAGAAATGCGACATTATGAATGTATTGTTGATTCATCGTTGGTGGTCTAAAAGTAGACTTAAGGCAAATACTTTATTAATCAAATTAATAAGATGATTCTATCTTTATATACGATTATCAGATATTATGTCAGAGATTCATTTTCATTCTTAATTCTAATGTTTGAATGACATGATATGAAAATTTATTTTTATTAGATAACATAATAGAGTATAACTTCAAGCAAAATATTTTTTAATTATAGTTTTAAATTTATATCAACAGAAAAGTAATATGGAAATACACATGATATATTACATTCAAGATTAATTGTTGTAAAAGTAATTTTTAATCTATTTTCTTTGTACCAAGTTCTGTTACACAGAAGGATTCGAGAACAATGATGAATTATAGTGATAAACAAGATTTTTTTAGAAGTCAGTCTATATAAATCCACTATTTTGTCAGAATATCATGTTGGAAGTATAAAATAATTGTACTTTTATCAATTTCAAATAAAATGATGGAAAAGAAAAAGTCTATAAATGACTAACAATAAATTACATTATTTTAACATCTCTTCTTTTTCGCGGAGAGATACGATTTATAATACATGAATGTGTGTCGCTTTTATTTTTTTTTTGGGAAAACGTTACAATATATGTTGGTAGATGATGGAATGATAGTAAAATAATAGATTCTTCAAAGAATATTATAAAATGAAATGGTTCCTTAAATATCATTACGATAGGTATTTTTGATCTATATTCATCAAATTGATTGTTAATGGTAAATAATTATCTCATATAATTATAAGTAAGTGTATATTAATATTATTATTTTCATTTGCTAATCAATATCCACACTATCTATTCATTTCAAAGATCTTTGAAAATATAAGAAAATAAGAAAAATGTAACTTGCATAATTACAATAGTATGTACTACGATAAATTTGTTGAGAGAAGAGTCAGTATTATGTATTTTTTATATATATGAAGTATGAAGAGAGCTATTCGAATTGGGGAATAGCGTTTTATCCGTATATTTTTTGGTAGATTCTTTCATAAGAAGAACACCGATTTCATCATTTGTCTGGAAAGAGATATATGTGAGAAAAAACCTGATTTTTTTCAAACATCTTGAAATACTCGATATTTTTTCTATAATTACAAAATCATTCTAAAGTTTCTCTTATGTCATCTCATCTTATGATCGAAATTTGTTTTTCGTATTGTATTCTATATTCAAGAGTTTTCAAAATGAGCAGATGGATCTAGGTAGCACTCAACTGTTGCTATACAAGTAGGCAATGAAGTTAAATGATTAGTATTTTTTATGAGTAAAAAATAATTACTGTTCATTACATAATTTGATAGCACCATGATTAGTTGAGGAAAGTTTAGTATTTTATTTTTTTCCATGTTTCAGTTGATTTCGGCTATTTACAAATAAATCACTTACTGTATTTGACTTTACCAGTTGTTTATTATGACTCGTCAACCTTTTCATGATTTTTATTTACTTTTGTCATGAAAGCACACGCCTAATATAGAAGGATGTTGTTGGGGATCTTTTCTGATGAAGGGAGCTTCTAATACGGAGAGATGTTAGAAACAAATTTATTGAATCACTTCGAATATGTGAGTAAATATAAATGTTTTCAATGTTTCATGATAATTGTACATACAAGATGAATATCATGATCGCAGCCATGCATAGACACATTCCTACCGTGTTCTACTCACATAGACACTCACACCCATCTCCAATGAATTAGTATAGTAAGTGTAATTGAATGCTGATTTTAATCACACAAGCACGGTTCTGAAGCAAAAGTGCGATTTTTATATTAAAATCAATCAAAAAACATAACTCTTGTGAAATTGAGAGATCTATAATGATACTATGCGTTGATTTTTGAAAACTTATTATGAAACTGGAAACACATTTAAATAAATATTTAACATGTATGAATAAATATAGTTTCATCACCTGTTTTAAATGATAAAGACGGCAGATCTCTAATTTGTTCCTATCAAAAATCAATTTAAAAATAACCGCCATTCTTGTAGTGTGAAATGCATAATAGATGCTTAATATATAAAGAAGAATGTTTGTTTGCCTGATCTTAGTGCGTTTGGTCCCTGTAAGAATCAATGTAACTAAACTTTGCATGATATACCGTTTCGTCTAGGAAAAGGTGAAGAAGAGATCGAAGAGGATTCTCCTCACAGTTTTGGAAAATTCGAGGAAACTTCGTCTAATCGTTAAAGAATTTTTCCTGGTTTTGGAATTTTTTTTCTCCTGCATTTGCCTTCTTGTGCTGTACCGAAATCAAGGGATACCTTTTGATTAAAAATTTTTACATCTCGGTTATTTACTAACAGTATCAAATAGATCATACAGCTTGCTTGCCTATGTGTCATATTTTTTCTAAATTTTCAATAAGTTGTTTTTTTAACAGAAAATGTAGGTATAAAATATGATATGAGGAGTCTTTGGCTCTGGAAGATGAGAGAGTGCTATGCTCATCGTTTGAACTAAGCGCAATTATAAATATTGATAGATTGCGATTAAGTCGCTCAATATATACGGGTGCGGGTGTGAGAGAAGGAAAGACATCCACCCTCAAAGATCAAATTATTTTCTTTAATTAGTTAGAACTGTGTTACCCATGATATATCAGATAATTCATCTTTAAAAAGAGAAAAAAACTGAGTGATTTTCACCAACATTGACATTGCTGTTATCAGCATCTACAATTGTTAATTTATTAATATCCAAATAAGTATTACCAATCAATTGTCGAGCATTATCAAAAAACTTCATCCGCTGTTTCGTCTGCATCTGTCATCAATTTCAAAAGGCCTGAAATAGTACAACAATATTCTTATAACAATATATATTAAATTCAGAAGAATAGTGCCTTTTCTGACACCATTTGTGAATAAGAGCTGAACACGAAATGGATATATTTTAATATTTTCTTTTTGTTACTAGCATCATACATCAACGAATAATCAAATGTGCTCTTTAAATCATCAATCAAATTCTATGAAAGCATGGTACTGAAACATTCAGGGCAATACATGTTGATCTCGTTCGAACGCACGATACATGACTTGCTGTTGTAGATGACAAGAATATTCTCTTACAAACATTCACAATTTTTTTCTTTTGATGATTTCAATGCCTTTGCAGCTAATTGTCGATTAATATGAAATGATTTATAATTGCTTTGATGTTTTTGAGTTTTTATATGATGGCTTTTTCTCATTAACCTACTGAAAATTGCTGATTGCAAGCAATGCATGTGGTCTGAGTTGTAGCAGGCTTGTATTCTTTCAAAGATAATTCATATTTACTGATCTTTAACCATTCTCTGTTAAATATTCCTTTTTCAACTTCTTTGTTTTCGATTTATCACTAGATAATATTTGTGGTTAGAGTGTTACTGATGCTTTACTATCTTCATCTTGATCAATATGGTTATCATTAGCAGCAGATTTTATTCTGCTAAGTACAAATATTACAACTTATTATATTCGTAACTAACAACGAACTATAGACAGAAGATTGTATACAATGAATTGACAGATTCGGATGATTGGTAGAAAATACTTCAGAAAGAAAAAAATATCGGTAAAGAACGACGTCAACAAGTGGCGAATATATTGGCCGTTTTTACTACCCACTGGAAATTCGAGATTGCCATCTTATTAATTTCCATTATAGAGCAAAGACGACAAAAAACAACAATATGCATCACTAAGAATTCATCGAATATATATGGAATAATGATTTATTAGAACTGAAATTGAGTTAAAAATGAAAAGCAGATCATATTTGAAAAGGCAGAAAAAAATTGAAAAAGCAGAAGAAGTGGCAGTTTTGGACTCGCAAAGTTTTGTTGAAATTATCAGTATAGAGTGACGATAAATGTTAGTCTGTATTGTGTAGTGTTTTTTAAGAGTAATATAGTTATCAGATTAGTAAAATATTAATGAATAGATAAAGGTTAGCAATTAATAATCCTTAACAATGGAAGAGAACACTGGTACTGTTCGAACCATAGTTGGCAACAATAATATCAGGTTTATTGTCGCTATTCACATCAACGACTGCTACTGAATATGGTTGAACACCAACTGAGTAAATCGTTTGAGCACTGAAGGTGCCGTTACCTGTGTTAAGAAGAACACCAACGTTGTTTGAAAAAGTGTTTGCAATAACAATATCGGGTTTATTGTCGCTGTTCACATCGATGACTGCTACTGCATATGGGGCAATACCAACTACGTAAGTAGTTTGAGCATTAAAGGTGCCATTGCCTGCGTTGAGAAGAACACTAACATTGTTTGCATTAGTGTTTGCAGTAACAATATCGGGTTTATTGTCGCTATTCACATCAACGACTGCTACTGCATATACAGAACCACCAGTTGTGTAAGTAGCTTGAGCATTAAAGGTGCCGTTGCCCGCGTTGAGAAGAACACCAACGGAGTTTGAAGCATAGTTTGCAACAATGATATCGGATTTATTGTCGCTATTAACATCGCCGACTGCTACTGACATTGGTAGATTACCAACTGCGTAAGTAGCTTGTGCATTAAAAGTACCATTGCCTCTGTTGAGAAGAACACCGATGTTGTTCGAACCATAGTTTGCAACAATAATATCGGGTTTACTGTCGCTATTCACATCGACGACTGCTACTGATTGTGGTTGAGTACCAACTGTGTAAGTAGTTTGAGTCTTAAAGGTACCATTGCCTGTGTTGAGAAGAACACCGACGGTGTTCGAACCATAGTTCATAACAATAATATCGGATTTATTATCGCTATTCACATCGACGACTGCTACTGCTTGAGGGCCAGTGCCAACTGGGTAAGTAGTTTGATTAAGAAACGTACTGCAGGCTATTAAATACAAAAAGTTTGCTGTCACATCTGTACTGACGTATAGACAGTATTCAATCGTCGTATTTTATTCAATGCTTAAGAGTTTAACTTAATTAAGCATAACTTATTCGAAAAGATCATCTCACTGAATTTTGGGCAATTTCAGATATTCCAGAGCGCGACCAAAGTCAGTCTTCAGCCATTCTGTCTATCTCTATGTGAAATCTTCTCGTAAATTTGAAAAACCAACGAACTCATCTTACTCTATCCAAAACTTGGGCACTCTTTAATAAAGTTTCATGATATCCTCGACTAAGAGAATGTAGAATACCTTCCAAGTAGAATTCAGAATGCTGTACATTTGTCTAGAATTTTATTTCAACATATATATGTCATTCTTTTTTTAAAGTTGCATCGTAACATGAAATCCTATAAACAATATGATAATTCTGTGTCACATAAACCAACCATATATCTACACAATTCTAAATTCTACTTTTGAAGTATTTTACAATTACCTCTGCATCCACACCCTATTCTCGTTCTCGTTGACAATTGCTCAACAAGAAAAAGTTATCTGTATGGGTTATTGCGGTTATACTTTTCACTGTTTGGCATAGGTAGGCACGGAGTTAAAAGCGGTATTTACTAGATGCTGTAACAATAAAAAACAAAACATTACAGTTTTTATTTATTGTAAGTTGAGTTCTCCAATACTTACTCTACAAATGGTTGTACTTTTCATATTCGATTACTGTTCTCTCATGACTTTACACATACAGAAAAAGTCGGCGCTAGTGTTAACTCTGCCTTTTTTAAGTTCACAGTTTCCAAGAAACAATAACTGAATTTGACAGATACGTCAGTTAGTACAGTAAATATGGAAGAACACAAATCAGAATCAATAAAACTTATAATGCTTAGTCTGGTTTATTAGCATAGCATCTAATAGACTCCGTGCAGCCCCCCCCCCCCTGATTGATCGAAAATCACCCAGAGAGAAAAAACGAAGGACGCAGGCAGGTGAGACTAAATACGGGCCGACGAGAAGTAACCAAAAGAAAAGCAACAATAATGAGGCTTAGTTCTCGCTGCTAAAATCTTCGGTATATTACTAAACTATAGTCCTATTTTACTATTGTCAGTTTTTTCTAAAAAAATTAATCGCCAGTGATACGTCTGATTCAACGTCAGTCTTTTTAATGTCGGCTCTTGCAGCGGAAGTCTCTACCATCAGCGTCATGATTACAACTTGTTACGTCAATAAATAACGTTCCTACAAGAGACAACGCAGCGAATCTCCAGGTAAGTGTCATTTGTTCATCGAGATGACAAATCTTTGAAAGATAAAATCTTAAACTTTTAAACTTGGCTACTGGAGCAAATCGTCGACTTGAAAACTGCAAAAACGTACAACACATTATCTAGCATATTACTGACCGGCTGTTGTTGTTGATGATGATGTTGTTGACGTTGTGGATGATGTTGATGATGAAGTAGTAGTTCTTGTTGTTGACGATGTAGATGATGTTGATGATGATGTTGATGATGATGTTGATGATGATGTTGATGATGATGTTGTTGTTGATGTTGATGATGATGTTGTTGTTGATGTTGTTGTTGATGTTGATGATGATGTTGATGATGATGTTGTTGTTGATGTTGACGATGTGGATGATGTTGATGATGACGTAGATGATGATGTTGTTGTTGATGTCGTAGTCGGTTCTGTTTTAGATGAATGAGATTGCAAGTGTGAGTGTGGACATGGGCGTGGTTGCGGCTCTTCTCCAATCTCCACACCGACATCTTGAATGTGGGTGTGAAAACTGAAGTAAATTCGCACCCAGAGCCACACCTTCGATTCCGTAGGGGTATCCTGAGAATCCGATATACCCCCATGAGTTAATACTAAGAGATCCTCACTATCACCATCTCTGATATTGGTAAACAGACTTCTACGCTGTGCCACATTAGAGAATGTGACATAGGATAAGACTCGATAACTGTTTTGACCATAAATGTCCATTATTCTGTTCTATAGATATATATGTGTTGCTTTCTTGCTAACAAGTATTTTCTTTCTCGTGTCTCTCCTTATTTCTTCCTATCATGTATATGTTAGGTATTTTCTATTCTATCTTATTTGTCGTATGCTATATAAGGATATGTGAACGTAATCATGAGTATGCGTATTCAAGTTACATGATAGCTTCAAATAAACGATATATACATCAACGAATATTGAACGCAACATCCTACGATACTTCCTAAGATATTTTTACACAATTCTTATTATCCAGTCTAGAAACTCAATAAGGGGCATCTACCGGATACCAGGAATGACTTACCAAGTAGTTCAAGTCATAAGACACTTTACTAGGGGCTAGTCAGAATCCTAGGCACCAGTAGAGCTTGGTAGGGATTGGTAAGCTGTAATACGGACTAGTACGGTCTAGTCGGGCCTGGTACCATCTGTTAGACCCTATTACTACTTACTAGACTCTAGTACTACCTCCTAGTTCCTGGTACTCCCTAATAGATCCTAGTACTCCCTACTAGATCCTAGTACTCCCTGGTTGATCGATTCCTAAGAGATAGGACTAAGTCACGCTATACAGAAGGAACCTGCCGATCTTTCTGATTATAATAGCGGTTGTGCTTTCCTAAAAGTAATTCTATGAATATACTGCTCATGATACGTAATATACAGTTATCAGGAAGGTTTATGAACCGTTTTGTTCGATATGCCTACCAGTTTATTTTTCGACCAATGTAAAAAAGAAAAAGAGTTTTTCTCTGCAATATATCATTCCTAAATAAATGTAGTTGTACTTACCAAGAGGAATTCGTGTTCCATCCGTAACAATCATAGTAATAGTGTCCATATTGACCAAGAGATTGTCATTTTGGTTTGATATATCAGCAAATAATTCGCAGTTAGACGATGATTTATGAAAACTAAATGCTTTACAATGGACTTCAGCTAAACAAGCAATTTGACACTGGTGGATATTCGACACATTGATAGTGGCAAATGGTAAGCAAGTTGTGTTAGAACATTGGAATTGCCAACCAGCCATATCAGACATATCAAATGATCGTATATCTTGTGTGTCTGATTGTGTAAAAAAAAGAAACAGAAGAAGAAAAAGATTTCTTCTCCACACCATAACTAACAAGAATGTTAGTTAAGAAATAAATTTAACTGTAAATGAAATGCATTGTGAAGACATAGCATTAAATACCTTTTCAGTTTCTCTCTCTTTTTCTTTTTTCTCTTTTTTTCCAACATCATAGATATTTTTTTATTTCAGCAGAATGATGGAAAAAAAAGTTTGCACTTTTTTCTGTTAGGATTGTGTAGTAGAGGTTAATTTTGAACAAGTCATGCAGCTACAAAGATGATTTCTTTTGCGTAGTTTATGTACAGGCAGAAAACAGCAATACGTATATCTTAAAATCGTGTTTTATGCAGAAACGATGACTACTTTATATTAAATTTAATTCTGTTTGTCAACATAAGAAACGCTTTATGAGATAAATCAATTAAGTGAAACTACTTTTCAGTAGTCTAAAGTAACTTCAATAATTGTTAATCTTCACAAATTATCAGACATTTTTCTTCGAATAAAATATACCCCGTCAACTACAATGATGTCTGTTATTTTTCTTTCTCAGTTCTACGTTGCTATAATATAAAATGTATACAGAATACAAAAGTTATTTCAAGATAATTTGATTTTCTTCACAAAGAAACGTTAGAAAAAAATCGTTGTGCAACGTTGTTCGTCTGTTATAATTAGAATAATGGAAATTACATCGTCAAAAAAAACTGTGTATTACAAAAAAAAGGATGGTGATAAATATCTGCTGATGTTGGAAAAACACCGTTACTATGCCGTTAGGAAAATTAACAATAATGTTTATGGCATCTTTACTTTCTTTGTACAGTCTATTTAGCAAAATTAATACAAATGCTCTTTAGAGTTTTGAATATATTATATCTTATTGTGATATGTTCTCTTTCTTTCACTGATCTTTGAATCTGTAAGATCTTAACTAGTGAGAAATTCCTTCAATCCTTCCTTCGTATTACAACTATGAGAAATAACAAACACAAAATACATGAAATCTACATCCAGAATTCAGAGACTACGAAGTATCAATAATACTCTCAACAATTTAACTACCTAGGAAACTCATATATTTTACAAAGACTAAGAATGGTGAAAACTATGAAAACACAAAACACCAACGTCTTCTTCCATTTTTCAAATCAAAAAGATTTGTTGTGAATAAATAAACAAATATAAAGCTATTAATCAATATAGAATATAATACTTTATTTGACTTTTATTTTATATTAAACAGAGGAGAAATAAGTAAAATAAATCAAAAAAAGAAAAAAAATACTTACACTAGAAATAATAAATTTTGTAATAGGAGACCTTTCGAATTTGTTTCTTGTTTATCAAGCTAGTTTAGAAATGGTGATATAGTTGTATAATAAGTATTATGAAGATGTTACGTTATAATTGAAGACAAAAAAATTGGTAAAAAAATACAGATTTTGCTTCATAATAGGTACTACGAAGATATTACACCACAATAACAGAAAAAAACGTGCAGAAATATAGAAAAAAATTTGAGAAAACAGTTTAAGAAACAAAAAAGGAGAAAGAAAAAGCATTTCTTTCTGAAGAAGTATAATTCATAATAAATAAATAATAATATGAAGCGATAAACCTATGCAATTAGATTGTTTCATGAAACAGAAGAAACGTTCTAAACTTACTTGACAGATGGTCGTCGTAGAATTATCAAGATATTCAGTGAATTAAAATAGAAAATATTTTGTCGATCATAATTTTAAATTTTTGATCAAAATAAATTACATTGAGAACTACTCATAACTGGATTTTTCATATGAGAAATTGTAGTTTCTGTATAAATCATCATTTTATTTATAATTGACTTCTATCGGTATTGTTTCTGAATCTTCGTTACTATTTTTGGTTCATTATTCGACGATTTTTGTTTAACATTAAAATTTATTTTCAACTGAATACAATAGATCATTGATTCTAGAAAACAGTTTTATTTATAACAATCATAATCACACATAATAAATTCTTTGATATTCACATGTGACTAAAATAAATTGGAAAACAGTTAGTTTATTACTATTTTAATTATGAATTATCAAATATAAATATAATTATTTGCTACATATCTTTAATAACCAAATTCAAAAATAACCATTTACTCATTATAAAGTATATATTGATCATTCTCTATTCTCATTGCACTGCATTACTGATGATTATAAAATGACTTTTTCTAATTGTGCTTTATAGATATGAATAATTTATTCAAACTTCATCATTCTCCGATTATCAATAATTATCTTAATTATTAAAAGATAAACTATATGAATTTAAAGAAGTATTAAATAGGCTTGCTAAAAAAGTTACAGTATATTCTCACTTTTATTCTCTTTTTCATACAGAAGATTCTTGCAAATATAAATTATCTGCTTGCTTGCTTGCTTGCTTGTGTGTCCGCAATTCACTCACTGGGCCAAAAACTAGTTAAAAATATAAAAGAAACTTTTTTTCATAAAGGTTGACCGGAGGATAATCGGGGTCGAGGGAGCTCGAATCTGATGTCAGTTTTTTAAAATTTTTTTTTGATCATGCTTTAGACAGAGGAACACTTTCTAAAAAAAGAGATATTTTTTACGACAGTTAACCGAACTGTTATCAAGATGGTGGAACTCAAATCTGAAGTCGGTTTTTGAAATTGTTTGAGTAAACAGTTTAGTGGTAGCGAAAACATGTCTTATCCTCAGAATTCTTTTGGTCTCAGAAAATAAATCTGTAACAAGTTTAGAATCAATCATTGCAAGTTAGTGTTATGTAGGATATATTGTTATCATTAAACTCAGTTTCACTTTCATTCTGAGTGTTCGGCTGTCGAGATAGAACGGCTATTTTCAATTCTCTTCTCGTTAAAATTAAAAACTGAAGTAATATTCATTACAAATATATACAAATGAGTACTATAATGAATATTGTTTCTTTCGCCTATTCAAAATGTACCAAATCAAGCATGCTACCTAAGAATCATGTTAGGAAAGTCTTATAGAAAATGTCCCCGACAAAATGTCCTAAATTTTTAGTCCTTACAAAAAATGTTCTTTAAATCTTGTCCTTTAGAAAACGCCCTCTAATTAAATATCCTTAAAAAAAATGTCTTCTAAGAATTGATCCAGAATTAAAAAACGTTCCTTATGCTTAACTAAGAGAATTTCGAATGAATTGTATCTAAAAAAAAGATGACGCTATAATTTAACTAAAATTCATAGTGTCCTTGAGTAACTCTAATAGCGAATTTACTTTTATATACAAGGACTGAAAGAAAAGAGTGAGGGTGAGGATGTGAGTGTTTGTGTGGTATGGGTGAAAGTTGTGACAAAGGAAGAATACAACACTCACATCCTCACCCACTCCCACCCACACTCACCCACACCCTCAAGATGGTGATCTTTAACCATTCTATGTTAAATATTCCTTTTTCAACTTCTTTGTTTTCGATTTATCATTAGATAATATTTGTGACTAGAGTGTTACTGATGCTTCACTATCTTCATCTTGATCAATATGGTTATCATTAGCATCAGTCATTTTTTTCTACTAATTACAATTATTACAGCTTACTTTATTCTTAACCAACAACGAACAGTAGACAGAAGATTATGTACAGTGAATTGATAGATTTGGATGATTGGTGGAAAATACTTCAGAAAGAAAAAAATATCGGTAAAGAAGGGCCTCAACAAGTGGCGAATATACTGGCCGGTTTTATCAGCCACTGGAAATTCGAGATCGTCATCTTATTAATTTTCATTATCCAGCAAAGACGATAAAAAAACAACAGTATGCATCACTAAGAATTCATCGAATATATATAATGGAATAATGATTTATTAGAACTGAAATTGAGTTAAAAATGAAAAGCAGAAAAAAAATTGAAAAAGCAGAAGCGACAGAAAAAAAGCAGAAGAGGTGGCAGTCTTGGAGTCGCAAAGTTTTGTTGAGATTCTTAGTATAGAGTGACGATAAATGTTAGTCTGTATTGTGTAATGTTCTATAAGGGTAATATAGTTATCAAATTAGTAAAATATTAATGAATAGATCAAGGTTAGCCATCGACAAGCCTTAACAATGTAAGAGAACGCTGACGGTGGCCGAACCCCAGTTTGCAACAACAATATCGGGTTTATTGTCGCTATTCACATCGGCAACTGCTACTGCTTGAGGTTCAAGACCAACTGTGTAATTAGTCTGAGCATTAAAGGTGCCGTTGCCTGTGTTGAGAAGAACACCAACGTTGTTCGAGCCAAAGTTTACAACAACAATATCAGGTTTATTGTCGTTATTCACATCGGCGACTACTACTGACATTGGAGTCGTACCCACTGGGTAAGTAGCTTGAGCATTAAAAGTGCCGCTGCCTGCGTTGAG